CTATACTAGGTAAGGAAAGTATTGCGATTCGAAAAGTCCGAAGTCCGAACGTTTAAGTCCTGAGGCCGAAAAACACTTTTTCAACCATTGGTCTGTCTGTCTTATGTTCAAATTCCATACAAAACTATATAAAAATCGTTTATTTCGGACAAATATTAACTAAGATACAGCTATTCAATTTCTTATATAAAAATATGAGTTCAAATACTGGTGCCTGAAAGGGAAAGAAAAAAAAAAGAAGAAAAGAAACGTAAGATAAAGTAAAGGAAGGAGATGGTCCAGGGTGGCGGTCATAAATAGGCTAAATAGTAGTAAAACTATTATATTATAAGCCTTTTAATAAAATAGTTTTACCATTTAGCCTATGTATGACCGCCACCCCGGACCATCTCCTTCCCTTATAATGCAACGGTCAACTATTAAATATTCAGTAAGATAAAGTAAAAAGAAATCTAGTGCCCGCATCACACAAGTTTCACTATTTCCTCTAATTTTAACGGAAATTATTGTCTAACAAAATTTGACTACGGCAAAAAGTTTTTGATTAGCAATATTAAAATATATTGAATTTTTTACAGTGATCTTCCACAAGCCTGTTTACATTCTTCATCAAATAAATCGTACTCAAATCTTTTCTTTGATCAGTTTTCAGGAAAATAATTCTAATTAAATTTTTTTGTTTGTTACTTAATGGACATATTTAAAGATTTTTTTCCCTATCTTTTCTTGCTTAAATACCTGTTTTTCTACTTCATATTTTACTCAAGAATATGTTACTATGTAATAATTGAACAAGAAAATCCGCTAAGATAGCAATGCAAATGATATGCGTTAGAAGCGGTAGGTAGTGAGCGTTGGCTGGTGTATGAATTTACATATGGTTATCCACATTTATGCCAAGTGTGTCAGTTTAGCGAACGCTGGGTTCCAAATCAAACCGTTCGTCTTCAACCAACTCCAATTAGGCCAAATGGATCTAACCGCTACTCCTGTGTAATTCCATTTTATAAGTTGATTTCTCTATGCCTTATTGGTAATTAATATAAACGAAATATTATCTAATATCTATCATGCCATCCATGGTGAAATATTTATATTATTACTTTGATTATAACTAAATCAGTTTTATAAAAATTATATAGATTACTAGTTTTCCAGTGCGAATAATTCGCAAAGAATATTGGTCGGTGAACAAATGAAAAAAAAAAATCAACGTATCATAAGAATAAGGTATCATTTCGTAGTTGCTCAGTAGTAATCGATAAGTACTAAAAACAATTCAGTAATAAAAACTATTATCAAACTTCCTTCATGTTTAAAATCAAAATGTTTACAAATTACAACAGCCTATATCTCAGCTAATAATGGTCCGAATGCAATGATTACTTTTTTTTTTTAGAGAGAATTTGAAGATGATTTGAGAATCTTTCAAATAATCGTAGTAGGCTGTGGTCCAGACCCCTTTTTATCAAATTATTTACATCCGCCTGAAACATCGTAAATAGCTTCATCTCATCGTAACCTACAACTATTTTATTTACGAAAACTGTTGTAATTGAGGCGTTTTCAATCTGGAGATCGGCAAACTTTGTCTATTTAATTTGATACTACAAACTCGTAAATACTCATTTGTTTTTCACTTGGATCCTAAGATAATTTGATCACGAAATCGTGAAAAAAGTTGACCTACAAAAATATTAGACCTATATATATCCTCGTTGTTTTGACATTTTGGGAGTGTAGGATCAATATTTTTTAATGCCACATTTTTTCTCGATTTTGTGATCATATTATCTTATTATTCAAGTAGAAAAAAGATAGGTATTTACGAGTTTTTAGTTTTTAAATAGATAAGGTTGCCGATCTCCGGATTGAAAACGCCCCAATACCGACAATTTTCGTAAATAAAATAGTTGTAGGTTACGATGAGATGTAGCTATTTACGAAGTTTAAGGCGGAGGTTAATAATTTGATAAAAAGAGATCTGTACCACGGACTACAGTTACAACCTAGAAAAAAATGTATACTTTTTGAGTTATTCGCAAATAAAGTTTCTTTTCTTTCATAACTTTTTTCCTTGAAGTTTCAGAGGGATATGATTATTTTTCCCACCTGAAAGAAAAGATCTTCAAATCATTGGATTTGACGAAGTTATGGAACAGTGATAAAAAAAAAAAAAAAAAAAAAAAAAAAAAACCTTTGAAAAATAATTAATAAAGATAATAATACAATAATTTTTTTTAAATACAAATTCGGGTTGGAACATAATCCATATGAGTCGCTTATTTCCTAAGTGAACCTTTATCGAATTTTATGGAAATCGATATAAGTATCGATTCTCATGTGAAAACACGCAATTAATGCCCTGGTGAATTATTTTTTTAGTTAAAAAAATTACTTTTTGTAGTATAATTTTTATAACTTCTATAACCCTCCTCCCGAATCATGTTCTCTTTTCCCCTCCAAACCAGACACCAATCAAAAGTTTTTGTTTAAAAACGGATTTTAAATTTAATTCTTTCCTAAATAGAGTATATTTAAGTTTCAATGTTTTTTAATTGATATTGACATTGGAATAGAAAATATAGTTTTAAGTCCTGAGTAATTGTCAAGAATGGTCAGGGAACACTCCGCAAAATTGATGCTTGACGTCTAAAACAAAACATGAGTGGAAATTTTCGATTTCAAGAAAAACAAATTTTCATGAGGAAACAAAACCGTGATACGGAATCATAATTCTAGAATAGGAGGGAAAAAAGAAAAGAAAATTGTAACAGCGGATGATAATTTCGTGTTCTGATGATTATTCCGTTGTGATCTCTGACTTGGAGAGATTTATTTCTTCTTGTCTATTTTTTAACTTCGCAATTGAATATAATTAACAGAAAATTCGGGAAATAAACAGAATCATTACCGAATTTCGCTACAGCGTTGATCGAGACCCGTTTCTCCCGAATGTGTATGACGCTGCTTTTAGATTTGGGTCCCCCTCCTCTTTTTTTTATTGGAGGAACAGTTATTTTGTTTTTGGTTCGGAATTAGAGACCAGTCCAGAGTAATGAATATTTGAACGTCATCTCCATATCAATGATTGCCGCTGCGACGACCCGCCAGCACCGCTTTGCAAGTATAAACGTTTACCCGTCAGTCCATATCCCGGCTGAAATCCCATCGTTTGTCACAGCTTCCTCATAAATCACTTGTAAACAATTGTTTCTCTATTTCGATATTTCTCCGTTTGGATACTTCAGATATTTTCGTTTGATTTCTCAAAAATAATATTTAAAAAAAATTAACTATGAACATGAACCATTTGACTATATAAATCATCAAAACTTGATAATATTAACCTTTGCAATGGTAACACTGTTTTTAATTATTTACTTGATTCAGAAGGCTGTGAACCATAATTTATGATGACATTTGTTGTTTCTATATGTTTTGTTATCAAGTTAATCTAAACAAAAGTTATTAGGTCGTGTCTTTATTTTATACATGAAAGAACCTTGCTGTAATAAACAAAAAGTTTTATTTAGAAAAGTTTATAAACCTATGCTCTGGGGGATTCGACTTTAGTTTGTTTTTTCCATATAAACTGAATGTCGTTGCTACTTGAATTTTCCATGGTTAGAACCAGTTGTGTTATGATCGTAAGTTTCAAAAGACCTCCATAGGATATAGGCTGTTGTTTATTAAAACATAATATAACACTTAGAGTATCTTATTTCCTAGATGACTTTCCTTCTTTAAAAATTTTACCTTAGGCATTTTTGTAGACCAACAGGAAGTATTCTATTTAAAAACCAAGATGATCACTATGTAAATGGTCCTCTCAGAAATCAGAATAGTAGCCTGCTATCAAAAACAGTATCAAAGGAAAGCTAAAGTGACTTGAATCATGTTGACCCTCAGATTACCCTTTCATATATTTCCACAATACATTTCCGCGAAAAGCCACTCTGTTAATCCTTCGAGAGCTGCAAAGCTATTGCACTTCTTAAAGAAAACTTAGATGAAAGAAATTCCCTTTATGACTTATTGAATAGAACTATTTCTATCTATCCTTCATGCTATAAAAAATATATTCAATTAAGTACTTAAACTATTTAGATAACTCAACTATGCAATTAGTTTATATGAAATAACATCAAAAATAGTACTAACAGCTAAATCAATAAAGTACATAACAGTTCCTAAGAGAAAAAAAAAATTACATAATACAGAACTTCTTTTCTATGTAGCAAAATTATAATTTTGTACCCCAAATTTTCATATAAAGAAAGTGAGAAATAAAAACTGTTCTTTATTTAAAAAAAAATAATAATAATCTGTTAACTTAAGGCATTTTAAATTATATTCATATTATTTTATTTTAAACTATAATATGAAATATGTAAGATGTCTTCTACATAATTCAAAAATTAAATTCATGATCCTTTAGGTAGCAATAGAGCAGGAAATTAAATATCTGACTGCTTTGGGTATTAAAGGTTTAGCATTAAAAATTCTTGTATAAACGAGAAATGGCTGAAATTATATTTTTTTATGTAAAATCAAAGTACATAAAGGAACTCTATATAGAAGTAGACCTCAGAATAAAATTTCTAACATAGATACAGTTGCAGTTGTCTTTTCTATGAAACAACTACACCGATCTCATTAGTAAACATTATCTCATAAGATTTACTTTAATGAATACATGACCAAGAAATGTTTTTATTTTATGTTTTTTTTTTTTTTTTATATATATCTTAACAAAAATATTCATTTCTAAATGATCAAGATAAAATATATCTTTCAATATTTATTATAACAAGATTATTGAGTCAAAATGAAATCTCAACAACAGTATAAGATCCAAAAGGTTAGGATGAGGGTTTGCAAAAAAATGTTCTACACAAGTTTAAGAACCTCGGCTTAGAATCATGCACTACTTTATATCAACTGGTAAGCTCTTATTTTTTTGTATTATTTGTTAATTTTTATTATTTTCATTTCAGATTACCCAAGAGTTGATGTCGGGCCTGATAATCCTATTCGTATTGAGAGAGATGGCACCGCAGTACTTCAGTGCAATGTGGATTCAAAACCAAGAGTAAATAACGTCAGATGGATCAGGGATGGGAGATTTATTTCTACTTCTTTCAAACACACAATCCAAAAAGTAACCATACAAGATTCAGGAAAATACAGATGCTCAGCCGATAATGGTCTTGGCCAATCAAAGGAGGCCGAAGTCTACCTCGATGTTCAGTACCCTCCCCAAGTTACTGTAGAAAGTGGTCCTGGTGTCGCCAAGCAAAAGGAAGCAGAGGAAGGTGAAAGTGTCACAATAAAATGTAATGTATCTGCTAATCCTCCCCCGATTACGGTTGAATGGTTACGTGAGGGAAGACCAGATTTCAGACAAAATGGTGAAGTACTTAAACTGAACAGAGTTTCAGCAGATGCTGCAGGGGCATACATCTGTAGAGCTACTAATGTGCTCAATCCCACTTCTCCTTCAAGACAAAGAATCAACAAAGTCGGTAATGACTCGGTGACACTCCTTGTACGCCACAGACCTGGCAAAGCTCAGATTACTCCTGACAGGCCGATCGCATCTGAAGGAAACGGTGTCACTCTTACATGTTCTGCAACCCCTCCAGGATGGCCCACACCACAATATAGATGGTGGCGAGAGCTCGAGGATGCTACTCCTTCTACACAAATTACTGTACTCGCTACTGGTCCTAAATATAATATTCCATCTGCACACCTAGGCAGTGAAGGGAAATACCATTGTGAAGCAAATAATGAAATGGGCCATGGTGAAAAAGCTACTGTTGTCCTTACTGTATACCAACCTCCTCGGTTTCTTGTGAAGCTACAGCCTCATGTTACTAAAAGGTAACCATTTATATTTTATTTAAAAATTTCATTTAGAGATTGCACATCTTAGCATTTAATTTTCACTTATAAAATTAAGAAGATATTATTTCATGCTCATTCTAATGCTTCTCCAATATTTTAGGATCGGTGATAAGGACTTCAGTATTACTTGTGGTGCGCAAGGAAAACCCAAACCTTCAATTAGATGGTTAAAGGATGGAAAAGAAATTATTCCTAAAGGCGGAAATGATCTTACCGGCAAGCTGTTTGATATTTCAACTGATGAATCAGCAGGTAAATATATGTTCCTTAAATTTTATTTGCAACAGTTGAATATCATTAACAAATATTTTAAATTATAATTATACTTTTACAGGGCGTAATCAAGTTTACACAGTTCAGAGTACGTTAAGATTTGAAGGTCGTGGACGTCCTGAAGGTGATCAGTTAATTCCAGCTGACAGAGGAGTTTATGCTTGTATTTTTGAAAATGAAGTTAAAAGAGCCGAAACTACTATGCATCTTAGAATAGAACGTGAGTATTTTAATCATAATAAATTTTACTGATGAAAGAATTTTGCTATTTTTCAAAATGATTTAAATGTATAAATTTGTTTATTTTAGATGAGCCAATCACGTTACACAGGTACAATAAAGTAGCTTATGACCTCAGAGAAACCGCTGAAGTAATCTGTAAAGTTCAAGCTTATCCAAGACCAGAATTTCAATGGAGTTATTCGACAAACACGGCACCCCTTCTCGCTGGAGCAGATGGTCACTATGAGATAAACACTACCGTCAACGAAAGTGGAGGAGACATTTATACAAGTGTACTTCAGATTTCTCATCTGCGAACTGCTGATTATGGTGAATATAATTGCCGAGTTGCTAATACGCTCGGAAGTGTCAAGACTCAGATCAGGCTTCAACCGAAAGGCCCCCCAGAAAAACCAGAGGATCTTACAGCGATAGATATTGGCCATTCATATATTACACTTCAGTGGACACCTGGTTTTAACGGAGGACTTACGAGTACGAAATATTTTATTTCTTATAAAAGGGTCCTTACAATGCACAACGATGATTGCTATACTCCTAGAAAACCCGGAAGTGGTGTTGAAAGCTGGCATGAATTTGACTGTCAGACAAAAAATCCGTGTAATGTCACTAGTCTTGAACAACATCAAAGTTATCTATTTAAGGTACAGTAATTAAACATTTCATAGAATATTCTAAAACTTCTGATATCAATACTAAGGTTGGTTTAAAAAATAAATTTATTTTTATAGGTAAAAGCATACAATACAAAAGGGCAGAGTAACTTTTCTGATGAAACAGCTGCAATGACTAAGGTTGATAGAATACCGGCACCGCAAAGAGTCACTTTTGATCCTGAATCACATGAGCTTACAATTAATATTGCAGCCACATGTCTTCAATTGGTAAGTTAAATAATAACTTTTATGTGTTATGTTTATACAAATAATAGTTTTATGTTATTATAATTATATCAAATAGTAAAATAATAATGTTTTTTTTATAATATTTTTATATAAAAATAAAAAGTTATGAACAACTGTGGTACAAATAATCACAACATTTGCAGTTTATATTATTCATGATTTATATAATTTTTTTTTAAATTAATAATAAAAAAATGTTAAAGGTCGCCATGGTTGAAGTATCTACAAGTGTCTACGAACACGAATGGAGACTTGTTGAAACTATGTCAATATCACCTTCTGGTGCTTCATCGAGAAAAGAAGCGACAATACTCTCTCTGATGCCAAGAAGAGCTGCCAAGACATCGGGAAGGTCTCTTGAAATGCCAAGCGAAGAAAACATTCTTGATGACCATAATTCGGACTCTGTAAGAGTTAGAGTCAGATATTGCCTTCAATCTAACAAAGATACTTGTGGAGACTATACTGAAGCAGAGAGTAATTAATTGAAATTCCTTTTAAAATATAATTACTATTGTGACTTTAAGTTATTAAATTGCTAATTATTTTTAGTTGGTCCAGCATTCATAAAAGAAGCTTCAACGATCGCGATGCCGACATTAGTGGCTATTGTGGTGTCTTGTGTTATCTTCATACTCTTCAGTGCTCTAGCTGTCGTATTTTGTTGCTGTAGAAAGACTCAAGTCAAGAAAGCAACTGGAAAAGACTATGAAATGGAATCTTCAACGTAAGCAGCTTTTTTATTATTTTAAATAAAAAGGTCTTCCATGTAATTTATTATCTTTATTTATTTTAAGTTACAACAGTATGCATTGTAGTTTACTCAAAATAATTTAACAAACTTCTTTTTACAATATATGTTACATAAATCCATTATACTTGTTGATATAACAATATTACCTTTACATATATATTAATCTAATCTTAACCTATACATATGTAAACACTGGTAAATGTTCACAACTAACTCTCATCTATGGAACCTTCTTAAGACGTGCTTGGAGATTTATTTTATGGATATTGAATGAGACTGAGCCGTCAACCTCGGCTATATAACCCTCATCAGGCTAAAGGCGACTCGAGTCTTCTAAGTTTTTCATTTGAATTAAAATATCTCAGAAAATTGAAATCGGACCTCCATACTATTAGCTAGAGAAATATTCAGTATTTCATCCTCTTTGGAATGAGATATTCAAAATTGTATCCTGAAAAAAACAAATAATATTAACTGTTTTCAACATTTGGACTAAAATACCTCAATCAAAATTATATGTAATATATTACTTTGTGAATTAAGAACAAAAAATAGTTTGTATACAATCCTAATATTAAATTTTATTACCATGTGAATATAGAACAAGAAAATAAAAAGTATATTTCATATTATTATTCATATACCGCAATTTTTTATAATCTTAAAATCATGACTAGAAACATATAATGAACATTCAATTTCTCAAGGATATTATAGTATTGTGTGATTTTAGTAAATTCTGTTTTTTAGATTATTTATTCTATCTTGTCAGAATATATGTGAATACTTTTTTATATTGCAGTGTACACCCAAGTATTGTTCAGCAAGCACCACCTCCTTACTATCCTGCATCAGGAATGGAAAACAAAGCTCTTGAACATTCGATGGATCTGGCCCTAGACGACAACAAACAAACGGCCATCTATGCCTCTCAGAACAGTTACGGTTACCACGTTAGCCAGCCAACGCACACCAACGGTGGAGAATGTAAGTAGCAATAATTAATATTTTCTAATAATTTATATTAAGATATGTTTATATCTACCGATTTAAAAAGGGGGTTATTTTACAGCCAGCATAGAAAAGGCTGAAGGTGAGATAGTTTGAAAGAGAATGATTGAGCTGTCTGTAAATTCTTGTTGAGCAACAGTTTATATTTTGTTTAAAAAGTTAATCACTATCCAGGGGTCAACATGGGCTATATGGAGAACAGCTACTCTAACTCCAACAATGGTGGCTCGGTCAACTCCCAGGACTCTCTTTGGCAGATGAAGATGGCAGCACAGGCAAACAATGCAGCCAACCTCGCAGCTTCTCAGGAACATCATCACCACCACATAAGCGACAGAAACCATTATGGTATACATGTATAATGTACTAGATAAGCATGTTATTTGCAAACCTACACAAATTTATAATATGTATATTTAATTGCTGTATAGAGTTCTTTTTATAATCAAATATCAATTTTAATTTTTCAATTAAAAATTATTATATTAAACGGTGAAACAGCAAATATTCAAATGTAATTCTCATTTTGAATAACAAATACAAGTATCAGGTCAAAGATATTTATTTTATATTTTTATCACAGCTATTTTTATTTTATATTGCTAGTTTCAAATCAGCATGTGTGTGTGATTTTGTTTAGATCCAATGCTTATATATATTTTTTTTTTAGAACAATCAATTAGTTTACTAGATGGCATCAAATTTTATCAACAAAATATTTGTAAAGTACCTAATACTTTTTTAATTTTATTTTTATTCTATAAAATTAATATTGAACCACAACCAAATCAATCCAAACCAAAAGAAATTACTCAATGTTCAAAAGCTAATTAGTTTTTTCAAAAGTATTTTGTTGACTGATTTCTTTTTAGCTTGGTTTTTATCCTCAGTAAAAAAAATTATATAAATTTCTTTTAAAAAAAGGATAAAAAGTCCTTCATAAAAATCAATTTAATAAAATATTTTTTAATCATAAGTATATTCGCATAATAATATATATAATTCATATAAAACTGAATTCATTTTAATCAAATTAACGACTTTCTCCTTTTTTTTTTTTTGTTACTGCAGAAAACATAATAAGTAAAGTATTATAACTAATATTTATAAATTAAATTTAAAAAGATATAATTTTATTGTTATACTCAAAAATTACTTAAATTTAGGTCCAAAAAATGGAACAAAGATTAAATATTTTTAATGAAGAGAAGATGGTTGGGGTTTTCAATCAATGAAAGTTCAATGTAAAAAAAAAAAAAATATTTATTTTTATATCCTTTGTGGTACAAATTTTAGCTTGTCCAATACTCTTTGAGCAAGCAGCCCTGAAACTTAGGCCAAAATGTCAGCACAAAGGAAATAAAATATAATTTATTTGTTTTTACTTTGTAATCTCATTGACTTACCTTCTACAGTCAACAATTTTCTGCTATCATTAAATTTTTTTTATTCATCCATTTTTCACAAAATTATTTAAATATATATTTTTTTAAATGTTCCATATCATAGAAATTTCTATTTGATGCTATCTAGTTAACAAAGATAATTTTTTATTTCATTTTTTTTTAAGACGCATTAGTTAGTTTTTTTTTTTTTTGTGTAGCGCATGTTGTACAATGTAGTTTAATATCCCCTGTAGGTGTGTACGACCCATTGACCCATGGCGGTTACGGAGGAGTTGACGACTACGCTCCTTACCCACACCTCCTGCCCCCGGCTACACCGGACTACTCACGTAGCAACAACCCCTCACGCCAGGAGTATCCTCAAGACAGGCAGCACCACATTGGTACATACTGTTAATACCATTCCTTTCTGCTAATTCCTATTATATACCCTTCTTCCGAATTTCACATCCTATAATTGTTGAATGGCACATTAACATAATTGATAGTTAGAGTTTTAATTTTTTTTCTGCCTAAATGCACCTAGAATATATATATATATATTTTTCAAATTGTTAAAAAATTTCTAATTCAAGTTTGAAATTCTTTTTTCATTAACGCATTGCTAGCTAAGGACACAATTCTTTGTAAGTTTTCAATTTATTGTTTTACTACAGTTTTATCATTATACATATTATTTCAATTATTCTAAAGATGAAAATTTTCTTATATTTTAAAATATGCATGCACTTCATATCGACTGTTAACCTGCAGAACATTTCACATTCGTTAATTTAACATGGTGCCGAAGATATGAAGTGCGAAACCGAACTTATCTCATTGTTTGTAATTTTTAACTTACTAATCTTTCATTTTAATTGTTTCATATATTATTATTTCATAGTGTAACAAAGTCTTTTTAATTCTAATAATACTTGGTACAAATAAAAAGCTTTTCTGGATTGGTGTAACACAAAATTTCAGATTGTTAATTTTGATGAAATCATTATAGTAAGAAATCATCACTAGTTTAAAAATGTATGTACTATTTCTATTCTGTTCTTTATCAATTACTACAAAACAAAATTTGGGAGCTAAATGAACATCTAACATCTCATAAGATTTTTTATTTAATTATATATTGTACAAAATTTGTGTTTTGTTTTTTGAAATTTTTAAACAAATATGAAAATACTAAAATCGTTGAACTCTGTTCAAGGATGTGGAATATTGTTGAAATTTAGGCATTTTGACTGTACTCTATTATTCATAATTTTAACTAGTTTTAATTGTTTTGTAACTTGGTTATTCAACATGATGATTTATGATTTTTTTATATAAAGTGTATTAATTTGATTTTATGATTTTTTTAGAAAGCCCTTATCATGACGTAAACGGATTGCCCAACCCCTACCTCGATCATCACATGATGATGGACCCAGAGGACAACCTTAAACAACAGCCTCCCCCACAACACATGCAAATGTCTTTTGATGAAACGCTCGAATCTGGGTATTCCACCCCTAATTCACGTGCTGGTCGATTGATAAGAGAGATAATTGTCTGAATCTGTCTTCTAAACTCTGATTATAAACATCTGTACTTAACAAGAAAAAAAAAAAAAAATATCGGACTCTCTAAAGAGACAAAGACCATTTTGTCCAGTGTTTTGTATATATATATATATATTTCATGGACAGAGATTATTTTTTCCATATTTGTGCATGTATATATTTATATTTTGTATATATATAAGGTGGTGTACTGTTGAATAATGAATGGGATAGATGAAAGGTTTATCAAAGAGAGATTTTACATTGTTTATATACACGTATATATATATATGTTTTTAAAATTTTCTCTGAATATTTAAAAAAAAATTTAAACCAAGTTTTATGAATTGTATCTCGTGCTCTGTTTTGTAGTTGTATGTGAATTTTAAACTATCACGTAGTTAACATAATCAGTGTTTGCATGCGATGTTTTCATTACGATGACAGAATTATTTTTTTAAATTCAAAGTGTCTATCCCTCGTGTGTTTTAATAATAAAAGTGTTAATATATATATATATTGATGTGATATAACGTTCAAAGTATTTAAATTTGCACAGTTAAGCAAGCTCTTAAACACACATACTTTCAATGTATTTTAGATATGTTTTACATAATTAAGTGTTATCAATGCAAGATTAAAATGCCCTAGGATTATGTATTATTAGTGCCATTTTATTTTGAAAAAGGGCTTATGGTTAATAATGTTTGGACGAAACGTAAACAGCGACTGTTTTCTCTTTATTTATGCAAAAAAAGAAGCAAAATACTGAGAAACTCAGTGTAGAGAATTACGTTCTAATGCTCAATCGTGTACAGGTAGGTTTAGAGACTTGTTGCTAGTCAGCAGGAAAGTTCTGTTAATTTTATATCTTTTTTTTTAGTTATATTAAGTTTATTGTAAAAATTTGTTGTTTTTACTTTTTTGCCTCGAGTTATTATTTATATATAAAAGGGCAGAAATTTAAAAGAAACTCATTTTGTGCAGTTATGTTAAATAGTAGTAGAATTTTTCTTTTTGTTCATGTTTTATTTTTATTAACCATATTTAAATCTTATAGTTTGAGAAGCGAACACATTAGGTTAAAAATATTTTTATGAAAAAGAGTAAACATTTGTGATATGTGTAAAACATCACAGAGATGTGGTTTATATAAAATTTATAGCTTCGCAAATTAATGGATTTAAATTATAATTGTAAATAAATGTGTATGTTCAATTAATTAATAATGTAATTTAATGTCACAATGTAAATAAAGTTATTGTATGCGTATGCAATTTTATCTTGTTGATTTCAGCATCTTGATTGTACTGAATTCAATTTTTTTTTTGTAAACAAGTGATTCTTAAGATAAAGTCTGTGTAATGTTTTGAACTGACGATTTGAAATAGCTTTTGCACAATTTTGATAGGTGGATCCCAACTGAAATATAGTCCAATTTGTTGCTTTCATTAGAACAAAAAGGACCTTGGAATCGATGAATCTGTTGCATTAATTCATAAATGTATGCAAATTACATTAAAATAAAAAAGATTCAAAATATAGTTTTTAAGAAGTCGATCTGATAAGACCTGGAAATGTGTTTTTGATGTTATACTATGTCTGTATGTTTGTATAACTTAATATAACCTCTACATGAAGAAACCATTCTTTGTTGATAAGTGTTTTGTCTCTCGACGCATGCTGGTTCTTAATGTGGCTATTTAATGTCTGTTTCTCGTAAGGCTAAGTGGATATTTTGTCATAAATAGATTTGTATATTTGTTTCAATAGTTTATCGACTAAAATATAAAAAAAAAGAAAAAAAAAAAAGAATGAATTATGTGTCTTTTAGATATTTTATTAAATGTATAGAAACATGAGGACATTTTACAAATGCAATGTTTTGGATCTCATTATTAATTTTTTTTTTGTATATTATTTTTTCATGAAAATATCTTAAATATTTAAAGACTTAAATATTTTAATGTTAATAATTTTGTTTTTATTTTTTGGTGTACTAACTTCTACAGAATTTTGGTCTTTTTATATTTTGTACTTAATTGTTTCTGTGAAGCTTATGTACAGATTGAAGTTATACATTTAAATATAATACATTTTTGTAATATTTCTTTTGTTCATTCAATGTCTTAATTTATTTAAGCCCTTCTATTTACTTTCTATTAGATAGAATAAATTATATTGAAATACAGAGTAATCTGTTCGAGAAAACTATTAACAAAAGACTAAAACTCAATAAATAGGTACAATTTTATTAAGAGGATATTCATATGTACAGTGAAACTAATTGTAGCGGACAGTTTCCCCTATTACAAATAATTTATCTAATTTCAATAATTTTAGTGTTAGTTTAAATAACTGCTGCATATCAGATGTTATCTCTAACAGATGAAAAGTTTCTCCATTTATCCAATTTATAATAGCTTAGTTCATTTGTGTAATCTGAGAATATGGTTACAAATGGCAAAGAAAAGAATGATGTTATTAATGAGTGTATATGAAAACTTAAAATTCGCAGTTTAGCCCCTCAATTTAAAATTGGAAAACACAGGTATATGACATTTTGAAGAAAAAACAAGAATTTTGTGAACAGTTGAGTCAATATGGAAATATTAATGCAAAAAAAAAAAAAAATGATTTTATAAAACTTCAAGTTCTTAACGTAAACCAAATTAGATATCGATGATTTTGCTAAACTTTCAATCTTTTGTCAACGTAAGTGATATAACACTTTATATAACAAAATTAATAGCAATTTTGAAGTTATAAACATTGGGTAATTTTTTATTTAAGAAAAATAACATCTTAATTTTTTTACAAAAAAAGAAGAGAAAAAACTTCACACATCGCATCACATCCACTTTATGTTTAAGTTTTCATTACTCATTCATATTATGAAGAAGTCTTTGATGGAAATAGTTTTTTTTTTTTAATTTAAATTAAAAATCTAATAAAATCTAATAGCATTAGAAAAATATATCAATCAGCTGATAGGGCTAGTAGCACTTTTAAATACATATTGATAAATTTCCATTGTATTTAATGATGCAAAAACTTATTTAATATACATCAAAATGATACAAATCCCTTTAAAATATAATGAAACACATAACATATATATAATTAATTACAAAATATAATAGGGTGAAGTAATATCCAAATAATTAATATCGGAATAATAAGATATATTTTATTTAAGGGAAAAAAAATACAAAATTTTAAATTAAAAAGGAAGGAGATGGTCCAGGGTTGCAGTCATAAAAAGGCTAAATAGTTTTACCACCATTTAGCCTTTTTATGACCGCAACCCCGGACCATCTCCTTCCTTTATAATGCAACGGTCAACTATTAAATATTCAAAATTTTAAATAGTTTTACTTATATTGTTGATTTCTTGTAAAAAGCCGCTGGGTACATTTTGATGGTGTTAAACTTTTAAGAATGTTTTTATGAATTTTGATCATATTTATCAATAAAAAAAACAAACAAAGTAAGTGTACTAAATGATACAAACACTTTTATATCTTAACTATAGTCACAACAGGTGCACATTTTTTTTATTTCACAAAGAATAAATTCATCAAAGGTAGGGATGACCATCAATAGTCAATATTATTGAAATATCTATATCGTCCGTTCAATATTTTAATTTAAGAATTAGAATTAATAATGTCGCTTTCGGAAAGCTCTAAGAATTATGTATTGATGTGATCGTTAAAAAAAAATTATCCTCATCTTAACTGTTTCATATATAATGTAGTGCATAGTAAAGGAAAATATCGATATTTCGATAATATTGACTTCAATGGCCTTCCCTAAGTAGAGTTGAATAGTGCACATGGAACCATTTTCACTGAAACAACTCAATTTGCCCAAATTTGCTGGTTAGAACCAAGGCGACAAATTTTCAAAAAAATCTATGAAGGTTGCAAATAAATTAGTTCTCTAGCTGAATCCGATCAATGGATGAATGGAAGGCATAGTTGGTTGAATGGAGATTTCTTGGAAAAAAACTGAGAATGATGAAGATAGACAGGAACTAGAAAATTAATTTTACTAAGGAAGGTAGAAGAATTGATATTTCCATTAATTAATTCAAAGTGGAAAGTAGCATATTTTTGTATGCATCTACGTGTTAGAGAATCAATATTTGTATTCATTTTCATATTTCAAAAATGTTAATAATATCAATGAAGATATTGACTATCGATCTTTCAAGCCCAATATTTTGATTTATCGATATTTATAGATATTGGGTCTTCGATGTCCCATCCCTAATTTATGGTTATGAAATTCCTCTTACTGACTTCTTGCAATAAACTGATAATGTTTTAACAAATAAACTAGAATCATGCTCTGAATCATGTTAGAATAATTTATTTTTTTCACATACACCATTTTGCCACATTCACAAGATCAACTGAGGAAAACATTAAGGAGCTGTGGACTGGATAAAGGAAAAAATAAATAAGCATTTGTTTAAATAGAAGTAAACATTATTTTAATATATTTTGAAACCATAACTAAGGATTGAATATCAAACGAGTTATAAATTAAGTATAACTATTTACTTTAGAAATTTATATTTTGTTTTAAGACAGATTATTTGTTAGCATATCATATAAAATGTAAAGTGGTTAAAAGTCGATTTTTTTTTATATATTTCTTCATGCTGAATACAATTAAATTACTCTTAAGTTGTTAGTTTAAATTATAAGCAAAAGGTAATATTTTGAATTTTATTTTGGGAGAACAAAAATATCGATATTTTATCACTCAACAATAACTAGTATAAAATGATGTTTTAATCTGTTGTCGAATAAAAAAGAGTTATTCTTGACCCAAAAATAATATTACATTATAACAATAAAAACCTAGTTTCAATGATTTAATTTTTTCTCCCAAGAAAATGAATTATCCGATTCAGTCTATGAAATAAATTATATTTTAATTATTAAAAAAGTAAACTTGTTTACTAGTGATTGATCAGCAAAAAATTAAATCAATAAGTTAT